TCACTAGTACTAACTCTTCTCAGAGCTGCATGGTGACTTAATAAATTGAGAATGCAATTATACAGTGACAAGTAGCACAGCTGAAAAGCAATTTAGGAAAAAATAGCAAAAGTAGCCCCTAAAAAGACAACATCTCTGCCTCTTACTCCAATGAAGGAATCAGTCTCTAATGCCTAAAGACATTAAGATAAGACTGAAAGATAAATGCAGAGCTGTCCCAAATATCATATGTGAGATAACAGAAAGCCATTCAGGCAAGAGATATACATTATTTTTATTGGTTTGGACTATCCAAATGCTTTAAAGTCAGTAGAAGGAGATCCAGGATATTCATAAAGTGATTTTGTCAAGTATTCCATGTGTGTTCTAATAGTTGTGGAACTGAGGTCAGAAGAGAAATTAATGCTCAATTTCTAGGGAGCTAAACCACGGGAGAATTGGCTATAGAGTAAGTTAGTCTATACACACTACAATATTTCTGGTTTAGCAGCTATCTGATGCCATGACAACTTCCTCTAGTTACCTGAGTCCTCTTGCTAGGCAGCCTTCTACATGAGTAAGAGTAGCAGAGAAACATAGCCTAAGCAGCAGCCAGGTGAGGCCTGCACACATTCACACCACTAATTAAAATGCTATGACTCTCATCTGAGATGAGTGTATTTAAGATATGTGATGAGAATATAATTTTAGTGTATTTCTAATTTGACCAATACCTTATATAAAATTCTGTAGGGACTTTATTATAGACTGCCTTTACCTAGGCAAACTTCGCATTGTTCTCAAGATTTGAACAACTGTCAGGCTACATTATCATTTTTTCTGTAACTTTTTAACTATTCAAATGCAGTCAGTACAGCAAGAAGAAAAATATTTAGGTTTCTTAAATGCTACATTGTGCAGAACAATATCAATTTATTACATATGTAAAAATGGCCTTTGTCATACATCCATTCAATGGCACAATGGGACCTGATCTCTGATGAACATGACACACGTTCAAGGCAGAGCACATAATTTGCCATTACAATCATGCCAATCATCCTAATCATAATCTCAGGCTTCTCCTGCACTGGACACTGAAAAACAGGTGCCTCAGTCCCTCATGCAGGGCTGACAATCAGATAATCATCAGCCCCAAGACCCAGGGCTATCCAGGGACCGAGGCCAACAAGACACATTGATCCCCTCTGATCCCCTGTGCTCAACACCCCAGCCAGAGCTGCCAGGTACAGGGTTAAAAGGCCTAGTGGGAAAGCCTTTGGCTCCACCTCCCCAGCTTTAGGCTGAGGCCAACATTCAACTGATTGTTGGTCCCAGGATCAGGACTGCACAGTGGCCAGTTTTATACCTCAGTACAGTCTCAGCTCTGGGACTAACAATCAACTGACTGTCAGACTCAGCCACACATTAAATTTGAGGCATTATACAAATCAACCATAAACTTGTTCTTCATTATATGTGGAACATTATTATGGCACCTTAAATTGGATGTATATGTAACACCTTTCTCATTTATGCCACATATAATATGTCGCTTGTTGACTAAATGTTACATTTAGAGGGAGCCAATGGGAGACCTTGAGGTAAGACAGTAAGGCTAAGTACAGACAGTGAAAAAGTCTGAGTTGATTCAGTCTTTGCAGGTTAGTTTAAGCTGCAGAGATTAAACTGACAAACAAATGGTCAGACATTCATTTCTGATTCTGGAAATGCAGCCGTGTGCCTGCAGTGGCTCAGGCCAGAGGCTCAGGGGTCCTAGTGCATGGCTCTTTGGCATGTAGCCAGCATGGGCTGTGTGTTCATTTCCTCTTCCTGCTGCTCCTGAGGTCTCTGGGATTTACAGTCCAGACTCACTACTTTAGGACTCTGCAGGGTTGCTCATCACTTTCTCTACCTTCTTCCAGGTGCTTCTGGGATTTGTAGTTCACAATCACAGCCAGCAGTAAGTCTGAGTGGGGGAAGGGGTGTTTAATCCCCCTCCCTGGCCCCAGGCCCCAGCTGGGGTTTGCCTGGAGGGTGAGGGGGCAGTCCCTGCCTCCTCTCCCCCCCAAAACCCTTCTTTGATGGAGCAGACAGCACAGCCGAGCCCAGGGTTAGAAAGCATGCTGGTATGCTGGAGGACTAAGATTTAACTTGAACCAGGAAGGGGTCTGGGACAAAAGTTTCATAAACTAGTTTGACCCAAATCAGTTAAGTTTGATACTACAGTCAACCAGGTTTATCTTAAACCAGTTTCAGTCATTTCAGTTTATGTGTACTGAACTTCTGTTCTGTTACAGGTTTAAAACTGTTTCTGTTGACTTATACTGGTGTATGTGTAACTTCTGTGTCTAGCCTAAAAGATAGTGAAGTGGTTATAATGTAATGTTACATTTGTCTTGTTTGATTCTTGTTTCTGGGATGTGAAGAAAATATACTATCATTTGTAGAAGACGTGTGCTAATTGAGAAGAAAGCCTGGAATATCTCCAAAGATGCTCACATAAGCATGGATGGCATTCACAAAATGGGCTTTATTAGTACTAGAAAGGTATAATCTATCTACAAATATATTGACAGAATAATAAAATATCAAAATAATGATCTGTCCATAAGATCACTACTAAGGATTACAATTTTCCTGCTGTTCTAATTTGGTTAGATACCTAGGACTGCATGATTTACAGAAGCAGCCAAAGGTGGAGTATGTCTTGTTTCATTTTATTGTCCAGCTTACTCCCCTAGATAAACACATGTCATTCCAAATGAAGTCACTGGGAGTAGCAAGTGCATGCAAAAACAGAATCTATCCTCTGGATTTATTAGATTATATGGCTTCAAAACACAAGTTGCTCTTTCCTATCCCAAGATACATCCTCTATAAATGTAATATTAGGGAGATAAAAAGTGCTCTAGCAGAGGGAAAAGAACATACTTTAAACCCTTGTCTTTGTTGAAACACCACCATATAACTGTGTGCTCAAGTGAATGAGGGAGAGAACATGTGAGGCAGGGCTTTATCTTAGAGCTAGTGGATTTAGGGACAAGATTGTCAATTGAGCGAGACTTCAATTACAACCTAATTTAATGTATACCTAAGTACATTATTGCAATTCAATAAACATCTCTTTAGAATTAAACAATTCCAATTTACTTTCATTTCAGCCTGTGTGCACGCTGTGAGAATTTATTATTACTCATGCCTAAATTAGTCAGATGCTTTCAGAAGCATTGATCCATGCAATCCCATTGTGACATCAGTGCTGCATAGGACTAACCTCAAATCAGCCACTGAAATTTACTTGCTTGGAAAGAAGGAGCAAGACGTAGAAAAGTTATACATTCTGCCCTTAATTATCTTTCTCTATCTGTCCTGCCCTCCATAATTGTCTCTGTCTAGCAGTCTGCCTGTACACTCCAGCAATGAATCAATGTCTCTTGTGTTGGAAGGCTATCTACTGATATTTATAACTTGCTCTTCTTTCCATCTTACCTGCTAACATGTCTGAGGGGGAGACAGTCAGGCACATTCTTAACCAAGGTTTGCATCGTCTGATATTTATTTCCTTTTGCTGATTGCCTTCCTTCCATTTAAACACAACACATCTCTCAAAATGCTCACATGCATGCCTGGGTTCATTTCAATCATGAGTTCTTATTTATTTTATTCACTTCAGGTTGGATCCCAAAAGGTACAGATGCCCTTAATGGAAATTAAAAGCACTCAGGACTTTGCACAATCAGTCTTTTCATCAGCTGTAGTCTGAAGGGACATCATAATACACAGCACTTGATTTTTAAAGTACTGTTTAGGCCTTAATGAGTTGATTAGCAATGCTGGGAAGTATTCATAACCACTTACCTGCATTTTATATACGATAAAACTAAGAAAGTTGCAATGACTTCCTCAAAAAACAAAGGTTGTTTATAGATGTGCTCAGGGGGGCAGTACTTTAGTTAGAATGGCTCCGAGAGCACCCAGAGCATCACATGTATCAGCATCCCCACACTGAAAAATGGCAGCAGTGGTGCTTTAACTGAAGCTTGTCAAACAAGCTTTAGTTATAGCACCGCTGCCAATTTTTAGTGCAGGGATGCTGACACACATTATTCTGGAGTCTGCTGGAGCGCAGTAATTACCACACTCCAGCAGACTCAATCAAGTCTGCTCCGACATGCTATAATTACAGCACATCAGAGCAGCCAAAGTCAGCAGCAGAGGCAGCAAGATTAAAATTCAGGCCTGTCCTGCCTTCTTACCTGGTGATCACTTCCAACCACACTGCCAAAGGCTAAAGCCATACAGGAATCTTTGTTGTGCTTCCTCCCTGAACAGTGGCATGTATAAATGCATGGGAATGTATATTATAAAATCCCAGATAAACAAATTCAGCCCTACTGCCGTTTAATACACATCAATCCACATGGTTTTCCAGAGAGGGAATGTAGTCCACAAAGCTTAACCCTAACAGGTAGAATAGTCTTGATTAGATTATAGATAATACCCTCTACAAATCAGTAATTGTACTTACACATTCAATTTTACACAAAGCCTGCAGCTAGCCACCATTTATCTCAGAGATAAAACAAGTTGAGACTTATCCCTTAGCCTAGTCCCTTTAAGTAATTCAGAGACTCCTGTGAGTTGTGCACGTGGCCAGACCAATGCATAGTGACCTATGATCAGGAAAGTACAAAGGTGACACAAAGCCATCTTTCAATGCTCCTGTCCTGAGCTGCCAGGAGTGCTTCTCATGTGCAGCTAGGAATCTGGAGGTCTAAGGAACCCCTCTTTTCCCAATTCATTCCGTGTGTCATTAAAATCAAATATAAAATCTGTTTTTCATTCTGTAAAAAAATCCACCTCTACCTACCCTATCCAAATTCCACACAATTTGAAAAATAACTGGGCCCTGAGAAATTCATAAACCACACTGGACAAAGTTATATATGCATTTCCACTTGAACTACTGTTACATGCACACAATATCCATTATGTATTTTTTATTTAATGCTACTTACCTTTCACTATTAGTTCTGCATAGTTTGAAACTCCAGAGCCACCATCTGAGCGAATCACGCACCGGTATTTACTGATGCTACGCTGAGAAGTGTCCGCTACACTGACTGTAGCCGAAAACCGTCTGTGGTTGACCACCCTGGTGACCATTAAGGCAGTGTCCCTTCCATTCCATTGCTGCCAGAGCAACCAAGAATACAAATAAATAAGAGATAGAGAGATTGACAAATGCGCTTGTTGTTATGCTTTATATAAATACCGTTTAGAACTTTCTGTTTAATGATGTCTGCTAAGTAAGCAATTTATATCATACAAAGTTCCAAAAGGCCTCCAAAGATGCACCCACAAAATGTAAACAAACATCTGTTTGTCTGAATTAACACATGCAATAGGGTTAGGGACAGACATTCAAAAAGCTGGAGCCTGAATTGATTCAATCTTTGCAGGTTAGTCTAACCTGCAAAGATTGAACTGATTTGCCAGTGCACAGACATTCATGTTTAATTCTGGAAATGCAGGCACATGCCTGCAGTGGCTCAGGCTAGAAGCTGGGGGGTGCTGAAGCAGCCCTCCCTTCCCCTTGCAACAGTCACAAGGCTGGAGGGAAGCTGACCTGGGGGCATGGCAGAGCCCCCACAGGGGCTAAGTATGATTGTGGAGGGGTTTCAACCCCCACCCTGGCCTGTAGGGACCCCATCTAGGCTGTGCCTGGAGGGATAGGTGGGAAGCAGTCATTGCCAGACTTGTACCCAAGGCCACACACCAGCAGGGCAGTGCATCAGGCAAAGGGGAGCAAGGGGTGGGGATTAAACTCACCTGACTCTGAGCATCGGACCCCAGTTGGGTTCTGTCCAGATTTTCCCCCAGCTCTTGCTTGGCTGGTGGGGGCCTGACCAGAGCTACCAGCATGGCCCTGCTGTCCACCCAGGGCTGAAGCTGCAGCTGCAGCTGTAGCTGGGGCTGTAGAGCTGAGCCCAGCCTGCCCTGGCGTGTTGCTAAGGCCAGAGACAGAGGGGCAGCTTGGGCTGGGCTTATAGGGGCTGTGTGGCTAGAATGCTTCTGGCTCCCTGCACCCAAGCCAGCTGGGTAGGGCCCTGTGGGGTTGGCCCTCAGACCCTTCCCAACCCATTGGGGCTGTGTTACAGCTTGGCCTGGCAGCATGGGTTGGGGCTTGCTGGGGAGCAGACATCCCAAGCCAGCTCAGAGGCACCGCCATGCCCGCTGTGCTGTGCAGCACCTGGGGCTGCAGGTGCACAGCCAGCTGTGGGCTGGTCGGGGCCCAGGGGGCTGTTCTGTCCCCTTCACCTGCCACTGCCACTGTTGTTGCTGCACTATGCCACACCACTCTGGGTGGGGAATGGGAGGGCAGGGGAGGTGGGAAGCTTCAGCCCCACAGCTTCTGCTCTGTGTGTGGAGCTCCAGCTCCATTCCCCAGATGCCTTCCACTTTCCAAAGTGTCCAAGTGGAAGGCGGTTGCAGTCAGAGCTCCACACATGGGGAAGAAGCTGCTGGGCCTGGCAGAAGCCACCAGGCCCAGCAGGGCTGTTTTTCTCTCCTCACCTGCAGCTCCTGCACCTGCTGTGCAGTTCTGCTTGAGATGGGGGGAGATTCCTTTAGCCCAATGGCTTCAACCTTTGCTGGGCTGGAGCAGCTGAGCTGATGGAAACTCCCCCTGCCCTGAGCGGCACTGTGTGGTGCAGCAGGACTGGAGCTGTGGCTGCAGGTGAGGGGAGAAAAACAGCTCTGCCAGACCCAGCAGCCTCTGCTCCATGTGTGGAGCTCTGGCTGCAGCCCCCAGGTGCCTTCCACCTGGACGTCTTGGAAGGCAGAAGGCATCTGGGTGGAAAGCATCTGGGGGCTGGAGCTAGAGCTCCATGTGTGAGGCAGAAGCCATGAGGCTGAAGCTTCTTGTTGCCCTCACCAAGAGTGGCATGGCATGACCATGGCAGCAGCAGCTGGAGGAAAAGGAGCAGAACAGCCCCCCCCGGCCCTGACCAGCCCACAGCTGGCTGTGCACCTGCAGCCCCGGGTGTGGCAGTGACTGCTGGGCTCGGGGCCCAACAGCACCTCCAAGCTGGCCTGGTAAGCCCACTCTCCAGTCAGCGCCCACCTGTGCTGCCAGGCTGAGGTGTTACGCAGCCCCTGTGGGATGGGAAAAGCTCTGTCCCCAGGGCCAGCCCCTCAGGGCCCTTCTCAGCCTGCTGGGGCTTCCATGACAGCCCAGCCCAGCTTGGGTATGGGGAGCTACACAGCTCCAGCCCAAGCTGCAGCCTGCTGGGAAGGGCCCAGCCCCAGTGTCCCAGCCTGGGATGGCCCCTCTGCCTCTGCTCTCAGCAGCGCTCACAGGCCAGTTGGCCTTAGCCCTGCAGCCCCAGCCACTGGCAAGGCAGGTGTATGGTGGGGGTAAGGTAGCCGCATAGAGGACAGTCCGGTTGTCCTCTGCCTTCTATTGATACAAAACTGGATGCCCTTATGTCCTCTATTTTTATCTTGAAGAGAAAAATAGAGGACATAAAGGCATCAGGTTTTGCATCAGTAGAGGATAGAGGACGGAGTAGCAGAAAACCGGAATGTCCTCTATGATGGCTACCCTAGGTGGGGGCCATGCCAGCCAGCTCTGGATGTGCTCCCTCTTCTGCCGCTAGAGCAGGGAAGGGGGGGGGGGAATGGCTGACAGGGCCGCTGTCCATCAGTAAGGGGTGGGAGAATAAACCCCTTCCCTGCCCGCTTTTCATCAAGGGGCCATGTGTCTGGCCAGACCCCCATCCCTGCTCAGGCTAGAGATCAGAGGGGTGGGGCCAACCTTGCTCTCTGGAGCAGAGAGCACAGCCATGCCTAAGGCTGCAAAGCATCTGGGATGCTGTTGGACTCTGATTTTAGCTTAATCCAGAAAGGGGTCTGGGACAGAAGATTCATAAACCGTTTTGACCCAAGTCAGTTAAGTCTGATACTATATTCAACCAGGTTTACCTTAAGACAGTTTCAGCCATTTTTGAACTGATTTACATGCACTGAAGTTATGTTCTGTTACAGGTTTAAACTAGTTTCTGATCACTTAAATCAGTCTATGTGTAACTTCTGCCCCTAAGATGAGGGGCGTCATGTGCATTCAAGTTTTGCAAGTCATTTTTTTAATCATGTTTGACAATTTGATGCAGTAACTATAATACAACAGTTATCTTAGGAGATGGTCCAGATTTTTAGAAGTGTTTGTAAGCAATGCATTTGTGTGCTTTGCCAACACAAACACATAGATTTTGTATATCCTTACTTTTGCAGGTGTACAGATGTGGTGTTTTTGTTGAGCCAAATTTAAAGATAGACTGAATTTGGAATGCTATCCATGCTTAGATTTCAAATACTGCCAGAAAGTGAATATTAGAGAATTTCCTAACCCTCCAGAATTTCTCTAAACAAGTGAGGATCAGAAGATGCCACCCTGCCCTGACTTCCTACAGAACTTCAGTTACATTCACCTCAAGGAAGGAGCCCAGTTTATCATGTCCAGCTAACTGGAAGCAAGATGTGGAAGAATTCAGCATAAAAGTAAGTTAAGCTGTGCCAAAACATCTGACATTGTTAAGCTGATCTAGCTTGCTAGGTGTTGCAAAGAAAAAAGTAGTGCCATTTTGCCAATTTCCAGTAATCAATCATTTGGGTCATTTCCAAATGTCATTTTCATTACATGCTTGTTTCAAAGAGTAAGTTCCCACTAGCAAAAAAAATTGCTCTCCTCCCAAATGCTTGCATCTAAAGGGAAAATTGCTCACCTCACTTTAGCTCAGAAGTCTTTTACACACATGAAGTCATAATGGCAAAAGCATTTGGCAGCAAGCATCAGAGCAAGCTAAAGATTAAGCAATGATACACCTCAGGGGTGCTAAATTACAACATGACTTAAGAAATTTGTGGCTAAAAATGGAGCTGCTAGGGTAAGAAGTGTGACAACAGTAGTTATAGTGACTATGAAGTCATTTTGTACACTGCACCTCTTACTGACTCAAATATTTTCCTAGAATTCATTTTAAACTTTAACTTCAGATAAACTTATTGTTTGCTCCAGTCCTGCTTAGATTACAGTTGAAACTGGTATTAAAGCTCTTTCAGCCAACATGTTAACTTCATACCCTTAGCCCACCATTTGTTAATATTCCCAGAATGCTCAAGCAGCCCTGGCAATGGTACACCTACACATGAAATTAGTGTGCCTGAATAAATTCTGACACATTTCATGCTGAGCTTTATTGCTTCTAGGCACAGTGTTTATGCATGCACCCAAGACTGCAGCACATTTTGCTGGCGTGGAGCAGCCCCAGCTGGCAGGGGCCCCGAGAGGTCAGCCTGCTAGCCTGGAGCTGCTCTGCCCTGGCTTAATGTACTGCAGAGGGGTGGGCTGGGGCATGAGGGTGCTACAGTGTGGGACCAGCTGTCAGGCAGCCTCTGGACTGTAGTACCCTCATGCCCCAGCCACCCCGGTCATGGTCTACATATGTGCTGCGGTGCAGTAAACTCCGCTGTAGGATAGTACTTGTGTCGGGCTTACAGATACATTAGTTTACTGAGGTCTAATATGGTTGCACATGTAGATGGTGATGCTTTACTGGGGAGCTAAATAGTCAAATCCACAGTAAAGCACACGTGTAGATGTGTCCAGTGTGTACTTTTGTGTTGCAGTAGTTGGTACTGGAGGTATTCTTTGCTATAGGCCTCAAAACAACAGATGGAGCATCCATAGAATCATACAATCACAGAAAATTAGGGTTGGAAGGGACCTCAGGAGGTTATCTAATCCAACCCCCCTGCTCATACCAGGACTAGCCCTAACTAGATCATCCCAGTCAAAGCTTTGTCTAGCTGGGTTTTGAAAACCTCCAAGGACGGAGATTCCACCACCTCTCTGGGTAACCTGTTCCAGTGTTTGACTACCCTCCTAGTAAGAAAATTCTTCCTAATATCTAACCTAAACTTCCCTTGCTGCAACTTGAGACCCTTATTCCTTGTTCTGTCATCTGCCACCACTGGGAACAGTCTAGCTCCATCCTCCATCCTCTTTCAAACTCCACTTTAGGTAGTTGAAGGCTGCTATTAAATCCCCTCTCAGTCTCCTCTTATCTAGACTAAACAATCCGAGTTCCCTCAGTCTTTCCTCATAAATCATGTCCCCCGGCCCCCTCAACATGTGTGTAAAACAATTTTTGTTGCTCTTCACTGTACTCTCTCTAATTTGTCCACATCCTTTCTGTAGTGGAGGACTGAAAACTGAACACAGTACTCCACATGTGGCCTCACCAGTGCTGAATAGAGGAGAATCATCACTTATCTTGATCTACTGGCAACACACCTACTGATGCATCCCCGTATGCCGCTAGCCTTCTTTGCAACAAGGGCACATTGTTGGCTTGTATTCAGCTTATTGTCCACTGTAACCCTAGCTCTTTTCTGCAGAGCTGCTGCCCAGTCAGTCATCCCCCAGCCTGTACTGATGCATAGGACTGTTCCATCCTAAATGCAGGACTTTGCACTTGTCCTTGTAGAACCTCATGAGATTTCTTTTGGGTGAATCCTCCAATTTGTCTACATCACTCTGAATCATCTGAAGAATTGCTGGGGGAGGGACTCTTTTCCATATTTCAGGTCATTGATGAAGACATTGGGCAAAACTAGCCCCAGGACTGATCAATGGGGACTCCACTTGATACTGGCTGCCAACTAGACATCAAGCCCTCTAAGCCTGATGCTCCAGCCAGTTTTCTATCCTCTTTCTATCAGCCAACTCCCTCAGTACCCTTGGGTGCATCCCATCTGGCCCCTTGGATTTGTATATGTCCAGCTTTTCAAAATAGTCCCTAACCTGTTCTTTTGCCACTGTTGGCTGTTCACCTCCTCCCCAACTGTGCTGCCTGGTACAGTAGTCTGGGAGCTGACCTTGCCTGTGAAGAGTGAGGGGAAGAAGGCGTTGAGCACTTCAGCCTTTTCTACATCCTCTGTCACTAGGTTGCCTCCCCCATTCAGTAAGTGACCCACACTTTCCCTGATCCTCGTCTTGCTGCTGACATACTTGTAGAAACCCTTCTTGTTACCCTTCACGGCTCTTGATAACTGCAACTCCATTTGCATTTTGGCCTTCCTGACTTCATCCCTGCATACCCGAGCAATGCTCTTATACTCCTCCCTAGTTATTTGTCCAAGTTTCCACTTCTTATAAGCTTCCTTTTTGTGATTTAGCTTACTGAAGAGTTCCCTGCTAAGCCAAGCTGGTCTTCTGCCGTACTTGCTAGTATCTTGTGCATCAGGATAGTATGTTCCTGCACTCTCAGTAAGGCTTTTTTAAAGTATAGCCAGCTCTCCTGGACTCCTCTCCCCATCAGACTAGCTTCCCAGGGGAACCTACCCATGAGTTCTCTAAGCAAGTCAAAGTCTGCTTTTCTGAAGTCCAGGGTCCTTGCTTTGCTGCTCTCCATCCTTCCTTTCCTCAGGATCCTGGACTCAATCATCTCGTGGTCACTGCTTCCCAAGTTGCCATCCACTACTACATTCCCCACCAATTCTTCCCTATTTGTGAGCAGCAAGTCAAGAAGAGCATGGCCCCTAGCTGGCTACTCCAGCACCTACACCAGGAAGTTGTCCCCAAAAACTTCCTGGATTGTCTGTGCACAGCTGTATTGCCCTGCCACCAGATATCAGGGTGATTGAAGTCCCCCATGAGAAGCAGGGCTTGTGACTGGGAACACTTCTGCTAGCTGTTGAAGAAAGCCTCATCCACCACTTCCTCCTGGTCTGGTGGTCTATAGCAGACACCCACCACATCACCCTTGTTTTTCTCCCCTCTAACCATAACTCAGATACTTTCAAGAGGCCTATCTCCAGTTTCATACTGGAGCTCTGAGAAATCATATGGCTCTTTTACATTAAGTGCAACTCCTCCTCTCCTCCCCTGGCTGTCCTTCCTGAACAGTTTGTACCCATCCATGACAGTGCTCCAGTCATGCGAGCTCCCACCAACTCTCTGTTATTTCAATCATGTCATAGTTCTTTGACTGTGCAAGAACTTCCAATTCTTCCCAGGCTTGTTTCCCAGGCTCTGTGCATTCATGTACAGGCACCTGAGTGGATTGTCATGATTTCTCAGGAACTATGAGAGCACCTCCTTTGTTGCCCCATCCTGCTTGCTCTTCCTCCACATCTCTCACTTCCCTACTTACCTCAGAGCTTTGGTCTCCAACCCCCAGTGAGCCTAGTTTAAAGCCCTCCTTACTAGATTAGCTTTAAACTAGGTTCACAGGGGGATGAAGACCAAAGCCCTAAGGTAAGTGGGAAAGGACTGTTTTTAGGACCTTAATTCAGGAAAGCATGCCTGCTTAAATTATCTTGTATTCAATAAGCTTTAAGCACATGCTTTACTGAAGTTGTATCAGTCACACCATTGCAAACTGTCCTAATTTAACACAGTTAATCAGCTTGAACTTCACATAAATTTAGGCTGATTCTGGCACTGCACTATACTTCAGGTAGCAATAGAATTTTTCTGACTTCAGTGGAGCTTCAGTGAGTAATTTAATATAACTGGGTTCAAGAATGGGAAGCAGCAATCCCTGTGTCCCAAAAAAGAAGCTGGGACTCTCCCCTTTCCAATTTGCTAAACTTTCTATTTCTTACTCTTTAAAGCTGAAAGATCAGATTTTAACTGTGTCACTGTATCCAGACTGAACAGTACAAGCTATCTTTTCTCACCCAGCAAGCAGTATACACAACATTTAAAGGCCTGAGACTTGCATTTGCTCCCCTGCTCATAGAATTGGTTGGGGACAGGTTCAGCTCCATGGTTCCTTAGGGAAATCTAAGGACTGGGAAAGATAAGTGTAGCTCTGGCTATGCCAACTACGTGTCATCTGAAGATTCAGCCTAAGAAAAATCCTCAGCTAGTTTTCAGTACTGAGGTCAATGCAACATTGGGGTGGATACAGAAGAGGAGATTTATAATAGTTGGGAAAAAGGAAAGTTGTGGCAGGGTTTAGTTTTCTTTTAACAGCTGCTTGCTTATTTAGCATTTGGAATAAGAGAAATCTTGGGGAAGAAGCAAAGGACAACTGATGTGAACAAAGGTGCATAGTACCTGTATTCTTAGTACTGAGGCATTTTTGAGACAGCAATAATATTGTGTGCCACTGAATAACATGAAGATGGATCATAAGAATACAAGTCGGCATCAAGCCATGAGTTGAATCTGAACAACCCAGTTTTGTCATTCTGCATTAGTGCCCCACACAACACTAAACTGGAACAATTTCAAAGAAATTCCTTTCATTAAAGGCCTTTTGGAATTTCTCCTTTATTCCTCAGCTCTTCTCCTTCCACTCATTTTGACTAGGGCAATTCCACTTGATTATGCTTCCTTGTTACTTTACCTGGAGCCAGAGTTTGTCATGCTGGGACCACTTGCCCCCCGCAATGCACTGGAACGTTGCATTCTGTCCCACATTAACCTCCACATTCTGAAGCCGCAGGAAGTGAGGTGCTTTTCCTAAAAAAAAGAAAAAACAAAAGATGCAAAATATTATGTTACCCGGTTACAGCATGACAGTAATTGACAATGTCATACAACCATTGGGATATCCTTACTTAGTAGGTGTGAGGGAAATACTAGGTTTACCCTTTGACCAAGTAACTTAGCAAAGCAAAGCAAAGCAAAGCAAAGCAAAGCTGTATTGTTTAATTATTTAGCATGGAGAGATTGATATTATACAGGATGGCCAAAGCAATCATATAACACTTTGGCACAGCAAGGAAGTACACTAAGTTTCAGTTCTACAACATCAGTTCACAATTACTTCTCACCAGCAGAGGTTCATTGTTGTTTGCTACAAGCAAAGAGCAACTTCTGCTGTATAAGAGGGAAATATCAACATTTACAAAGGTTAAAAAAAAAACCAAATAGCCATGAGATTTCAGAGCAAACATGGCCCAAAGCAATTTTTCATATCCTTTTTTAGTTTTGCTGATTGCTAAGTGAATCCTAGGGAATCAGACCTGAAACCATCAGGCATT